TGCGGAATCCAATTAACGCGAGTATATATACGGTGTCGATTGAGTTTTGCCTCGTGTCCGTCCCTGTCCCGTGTTTGCGTGCTCGTGAGTGTATATAATACGTATGCGAGGTATGCTAGACACGAAGCTCGCTCGCAAAAGAATGAAAAAAAGTGAGCTCGATGAGCTTGCACGAAAATTAGTCGCAGTTTTTATCTTTTCCATCCTTCTCTCTGTCTCTCGTTGCTGCGCTCGCGGGACAAGAATGAAATAATAAATTACGTATTCTCTTTTTGCTCTCCGGCCGTTTATGCCGACGCGACGCGAGCGTCGCGCTATTCAACTCGTACGTCGCGCATTTTTAAAAATTTCCCTTTTCCGAGCAAGTGAAGTTCGTCTCTCTCTTCCCCCTAGCGAGTGAACTATATATATAACAGAGAATTAGAGATAACCGTGCGTGTGTGCTTATGAATAATAATACAAAAAAAAAATGCCTTTGAATTATTTCCTAGTTTTCCGCGGTGTACGTTTGTATAAAGGAACGTATGTGCGTGCGTATAGCCTCTCGTCCTCCTCCTCCTCTGCTTGAAAATAACTAGTGAAAAACAACCCTGCGTGTACGCGCTGTGTGTTATATACCGCACACGAGTACCGCCGCTGCTACCGCTGCTGCCGTTTGGGAGGACAGGAAAAAAGGAGTTTTTGTACTTTCATTAACTACTCTAATTGCGCTGCAGCTCTGCAGCTTTATACCGAGCGTTTATAACGTGTTCCTTTTACTTTTTTTCCACCCCCCAGTCGAGTAGTAGAGTGTGAATTTTTTGCCTTTCTATTTTTTACACGACGCGTGGACAAAAAAAACAAAAGAACTCGACGAAAGGTACGGTCGAAAGCTCGAAAAGCTTTGTTAAGCTGCCCCGAAGAGAAAGACAGACAGAGGGAGAAAATAAAAATCAAACGTTTGAAATTCTTCTTCTCTCTCCGTGTCGCGCGCGAGAGAGAAAAAATACGTTTATTTCAATTAATCCCCTCTCGCGTGCGCGCACTCGGACGGGAAAATGAGAATAAATAAAAAAAAAAAAAANAAAAAAAAAAAAAAAAAAAAAGGATCGCACAACCGTCTCGAGAGTGAGAGATATCGAGTATACTATGTAAGTATTATTGAATAGTATCACCCAGCTCGAGCGAGAATCGCAATATCGCGCGAGGACACAACATCAATTGAGACGTTTCTCTCTCTCTCGTCGACTAATCGCAAAGCGAGAGAGAAACCTGCGAGTATACCCGAGGAAAAAGTCAATGAGTTTCGCGCGCGGTGCAATCAGTGGGTGTCGGCTCGCGCACAACTACGTGTAATCCCTTGGACTCTCTGCTCGACTCCTCGAGTTTTACTCTTATATATCTTTCGCTCGAGCTCTTAAGCGCCGAAGGTACAAAATGAAGAATTATCCGCGCGGGTTATTTTCCCCGAGTCGCGCAAACTGCGAGAAACTCCCGAGCTTTTCTTCGCTCCGTCTTCTTCTTCTTTTCTTTCTATATATCTCGCTCTGGCAAATCTATATAAATACACTTTGAACTGACGTCGTGTCGTCTTTCCCGAGCTCCTCGCGCGCGCACCTGTACACGGCAAAGTGAAAAAGCTAAGGTTTCTAATAAAGCTCGAGCTGTGTATATATCGTGTTTATAAGAGCTCCTGTATAGCTTGTATAAACGATACTCATCGAGCTTTGTGTGTGTATGTGTTTACAGCGCGACTACAGGATGCAAAGAGAGGCAAAAAAGAAAAGAGAATGCCCCGTGTGTATCGCGTTTTTATTCGCACCCAGCTGGCGTCCAATGATATCAGGCAGTATATATCTCCTCTTCTTTTTTTTTTGCTTTTTTTTCTTTATACATGCATCTATTCGAATCCATTCGAACGATTTCCATGCTGTACTACGGTACGTGAATGGGGAAAAATTGACGACATTCAGAGCTTGCAGCAAACACATGGCGTACGAGCCACCGTATAATCGCGGAAGAGTGAAAGATATAGAGAAATGACGCCAACGATTGCTAGGAAAAATATCATACGTATGTCGTACGTGAAAAACACCTATAATCCGAGGCTAATATCATCGATGCGTGGATTATTATAACGCACTGTGTGTACGTCACCATCCCAAGGCGCGAAGAATAAACGTACGTCACGAGAGAGCTGTGCTCGTTGATAAATACGAGACTTTGGGCGCCACGTCGCTCGATGACGATCAACAACCGACGAAAGTTTCGTTGGATTATTTTTAGCCGATATATATGATGATAATATATAGAAAAGGCGAAGACATGGAAAAAAATATGCTGCATATATGAATGAAACTCGCGGGGCGAATAAATACATATTTTTATCGCGTCGATAAACTTACGTTATATATCTACCGCAGTGGCTGAGCTTGCAAAACTGCTCTCCGTTTTCTAACTCTCCTAATTTTTCTCTCGACCGATACGTTCCCAGAAATTAAGAATGTCAAAAAAAAAAAATAGTGAATGGGCAAAATATTCGTAGCTCTGCGAAACTGACGTTCGTTATGCATTGTTACGCACTACTGTTGTTGTTGTTGTTTTTGTTTTTATTTCCTGACCCTCTCGTAAAATTCCATACCTACAAATCTACAGTTCTATATTTCATCAACAAAGCTCTCACTGTATAGGTATCTAAGCGCGGAACAAAAAAAAAACGATCGATTCTCTCTCGATATTTCCCAAGCCAATTATATTTTTTCCTCTCGGAGCTTTCGCATTCGCGCAATACTTGGAATTGTTACACTAACGAACGAGAGAAAGAGAGAACTTTTTTTTATCATTCAAAACATTCGCGCGCAGTTCGGATGAATAACAACTTTTTTTTCACGGCCGATAATGTACGCACTCGCGCGCGTGTATTCCGATTATTTTTTCGGGGGCAAAGCGAAGCACAAAGAAAAAAAAACGACAAAATTTATACTTTACATTAAGCTTCGTGGGAGGGCGCGGGCGAAGACGACGCTAAAACTTTAACTTTGTCAAAGGCGATCGTTGGAAAGCTGTCAATGTCACGCACACACACACAAACACACAGTCGCGCAAATGAAGAAAAAAAAAAGCCCAGCATATCGATCGTCGATTTGCATTTTGATTTTATGTTTTCGCTCGCATGTGTCCGCGTGTATACGCGAGCAATCCGATCGATGTTTAAAACTCTGACCGCGTGCAAACTAGCTCTCACTCTTTCTCGTTCCAACCACACGTATAACGCCTGGAATAATGCAATAAAGACGTTCCCGCAGTTCTTAGATTTTCTTGCGAGGAAAAAAAGAAGGAATGAAACGAAGAAAAAAGGAAGAGAGAGAGAGTAACGTAGATTGGCGAGAAGTGTACAGCGAGGAGAATGTAGGTCATCAACTTACAGAGAGAAAAGAAATTGTAAAAAAAAAGAAGAAAAAAAACAAAGCCAATCATTTTATTTTGCATACCGCGTAGGAGATATACACACAGCACGACCCAGCACAGCACACACACAAACGACAATAATAAAAGCTCTGCTTGGGGAATCGCTTGGGAAATCTTTAAAAACGACCTGATAAAATGCCCGAGTATAAGAGTAGGTAAAAAAAAAACGAGGAAAGAATGAGGTGGAGAGAGAAAAAAAAATACTCTCAGGATACTTATTGGACTTTGTGTATAATAATAATAATATACATAAACAGACGGGAGGTACGAAGCGGGGCGATATATAATAGCAGTCCGAGATAACCGCGACCGACGATCGAGAAATGAATATCGTTACGAAGGCACCGCTTATAATACTGCCCACGCGATATCACGATTCAACACACAGACACAGACACACATTTTCTTCGTTTTTTTTTTCAACAGCCACATGATATGCGGGGGCTCAGCGTCGCGTCGTTTAGGATAGACGTCGACGATGGCCACGACGTCGATCGTGTACTATAATAGCCGCCAAGGGGGGTCAGGTAGCAGCAAAAAATAAGGATCGCGACTGCTACTACTACTACTAGTAGAAAATGCTTTAGACCATCGTTTTCTTGAATTTTATCGATTTTCCATTCGCTCGGTGAATATCGTCGATCTCGTTCTTTCAATTTCTTCCTTGAGTATTGTCTTACACAAAGAGCCATATCGAGAGAATCGATCTCTCTCTCACTCTTATATAGCCCAGATTGCGCGCACCTATACGTATGTGCCGTGGGGCACATCGTTTCTTCTCGTCGTGCGATATACGGCTTTTGATAAAACGCGCCCCAGTCGAGGAATCGAACTAATGGAATTTTCACACATCGATCGAGTCGAGATTTCGTATATCACGTGGACAATATGTCCCCCCCGTTTGCGAATCGGTTCGCTATCTAACGAATTCGAACATATTTAATTTTATTCCGACATCCCGCAATTTATTGATATTGATATGTACAAAAGCGAAAAACCGAATCTCCAATTAGCGAAATTCGATGGTTTTGAGCGAACGCGCGCCAATGCGGTGAACAAAAATACGCTCTGGCTGCACTTTATGAAAAAAAAGCTGCATTTTTATATTAATACGTCCAAAGCCGGCGTACTGTGTGTCGCGCAGCACTTTTCGCTCTCACTCTCTTGTTTTTCCCCCGGTTACACATTTTATATTTTGAAACGCTCGATAAATATAAAATGTCTGGCGTGCCCTCAATCGCGTAAAAAGCACACTTTTTTCCTCTCATTCTCTCTCTCTACATTCGATGAGAGACAAATAAAAAAGGGAGAGAGAGAGAGAGTGGAAAAAAGTTCCCGAGCTTTTCGTGTATCCCACGACGATGCTGCTGCTGACGCTCTTTTTTTCTGGGCTGCGTCACGCTTCCATACTACGCGTTCACTTTGTACGAACCAAAAGAAAAAATAACAATAAAAGATAATAAACTCTTGAGAATCTTTTTGCTAATAAGAAAAAAAAAAAAAAAAAACAAACACAAAAAAATCCCAACATGATGTTGACGTGATATACGCAGGTCAAATTGAGAAAGCCGGGCGATGCGATGAACGGCCGACGCAGCTTAGTAGTCGCAAGCTCGTTCTCGGCTGCTGCTGCTGCGTCGTCGTCGTCGTCCTCCTCTTCTTCCGCCGCAGCGACAGCGACAGCAGCCGCCTCGGGTAGCGTCGGCAAGCTAGCGCCCGCAATAAACAAGCCGACGAAGAAATGCAAACAGCGGAGAATACGTCTGCTGCGCGCTCAAGGTATAAGAAAAATAACAAAAAAACAAAAACAAAAGCTCGCATCGATACACACACACACACATATACACGTACACCTACACTTTCTTACTCCACTATATAATACCATCAGCGTCACTATAGCTGCTGTATTATTTTTATCATCATTATACCCATTATCCAGCACCATCAAAGCACGCAAACAATCTTATATATATTATATCCTGCGCGAGGGACTTTGTATCAAACACAAGAGCAATATTCCAAGTATTTTTGTGTGCGCGAGAGTGTGTTTGTGTGTGTGCGCTTCAAGCTCGCGTTGGCATTTTCTCTCTGTCTCTCTCTCTCTCTGTTTTCTCATCCTGTAGCTGGCACTTTTGTTAATAATATCACGTAGCCCGTAAATCGTTTTAGTTTTCAAAAAATTCGCTCTTCTCCGCTACGTTGTTATTATTATTATTATATATAAGAGACGACGACGACGACGACGACGATGCACCGCCTCTGTTCTCTACGTTATACACCCGAGGTTAAAACACGATATCCTCGCTTCATTCCGCTGCAGCGGCACCGCTTCGAGTTAATTATTCTCTTTTAAAGCTTCCCTCTCTCTCTCTATTTTATTTTCATTCCCAAGTACCAGGGAGAACTTTTCACTTTCAAGGGATCGCGCGTCGGTATCTTATTCGCGTGTATACGCGTGCATATAATAAACTTCGTGAAAATGTAAATTGCACGTCGTCGAGCTTGCAGCAGCGATCAATGAGGACGAGGACTGTGTGCAGCTGGGTGACATCGGTGCGAGGACTGCTGCTGCTTCGTTACTCACTCGCTCGCTCGTAGTATACACACCTGCGAAAGCTCTCTCACTCTGACGATCGAGCTTTTGCGGTCGGAGTTACAGGCGCGCAGCAGGTAGTGGTAGTGGTAGTAGTAGTAGTAGTCCTTGGAGTCGTCGTATTAACGACGTTACATGTCCCCCCGTGCGCGTCCGATAAGCATAATGTAATACAAACGCAGCAGCGTAGTAAGCTCGCGCGTATGCCGCCGTTACTCGTTGTATAGCACTAAATATAGATCCTTGCCAGTCGCTGTGCATTATATGGAAATGATGAGGATTACGAAGGCTTTGACTCTGTCTCTCTCGCGGGATTGGGGGTGTATCCAGCTGTGATGATGGTAGTGCATCCAGCAGCTGCTGCAGAGACCTTAAGCCACAAACGCAGAGAGAGGGAAAATTCCACCTTTTTTTTGACAAATGCGCGGCCATATATTAAACATGGATTTTTGTGTGTGTGCGTGCGTATTTTATGCGACTTATACTCTCTCTCTCTCGCGCATTGTTCTGCCTTTTTCATTATGTATGTATCGCGTTCTCGCACACACGCTGGAGCTTGCGAGCTTGCGCTGCATCTCGATTGGATTAATGCTTTACTGCGTATTTATGCAAATTGGCTTTGCTCGCGTGCGCGTGTGACTTTTCCAAGCTTCGCTTCGCCACGGAGTCCTGCATCCGACGACGAAACAACAACAACAACAAGAACAAAAAAGGACCGTATATATAGAGCTTTTTCATGCATGGGATAGGAAGTTTTATCTCGTCGTTGCTTTCTTTCTTTTTTTTTTCGTTGGCAGCTTTCATATATATATAAATTATAACGCATAAAACAGCAATGATATAACAAAGAGCGCTAATAAACAAACTAGCGCAGTAAAAAATAAAATAAAAAAAGAAGAGTAGATATCATCTCGTATGACCGAAACACTTTCGAGTTGGGTGTCATCTCAATCATGCGTATACGCGAGCCTCCGCGGCATACAGTACCTTCTACACATATACACATACACTCACACACATATATCAAGCATAATATAAACTTTCAAGCTCGAGCTGCTGCTGCTGCTGCTGCTACCACTAGAAACTTTATAGCCTTTCTTGCGCGTCATTACTTTCCTAGATTTATTTCGTGCCCCCCCGGCTCGGCGCTCGTGGCCTCGACTCCACTGTACTAACATCGTCAAAAAATTTGCCCATTTATACATAAAGTGACAGCGGATCGTACAACTTTAGAGAGCGCTTTTGTTTGTGCTGTTTTTTTTTGTTTTATCTCTTTGTACGAGCGACGACAACGGCGCGCGAGAAAAATCGCCAAAGTTCGTCGCACTTCGTTCATCCACCCCCCAGTAGTGTGCAGGCAGGCAGCACTTCAAGAGCTTATTCGTCAATCTTGACTCTCCCTTCCTTCCTTCCTCCTCCTCCTCCTCCTCCTCTTCTTCTTCGAAGGCAAAATTAATCATTCGCCGCTTTCTCGTCTATGTAGTACGTCTTCTTTTGCCGCGCGCGCTTGGACAGGGGGTCGGTCGGTCGGTCGGTCGGTCGGTGGTCGACGCGTGCATTATAAAAGCTGCAATTTCACCTCTCGATATCCACCTATATATATACGTATAGACGTTACATTGTACAACGTTAACTAGTGGTAGTGCTGCCGGGGGGTAGAAGAAAACTTGATCGACTTCGGCTCGATGATTCACGAGCTGCACGCGAGATAGAGATAGAGAGACCCTATGTATACGTATAATATGGATTTTTAATCAATGGGAGTAGCCCCGCGCGAGCTTGCGAGAATGATAATAATCAACGTCGAACGCGGCCCGGAGTTATAATCAAGCGCAAGCTGCTTTACTCTCTCTCTCACTCTATCTATCTCGGTTCTCTTATACTTTTTTTCTCTCTCTTCTCATCGCGACGATAATAATTACTTACTCGACGTAGAGAGTTTTTGAATTTTCTTCGTCGAAGTATAACGAGCATAAATAAACCTTGTAATACGTGCGAATCGCGCGGAACAAAAGTCCACCAACCCATACACACACTAACATTGCATTTCTATTAGTGCATTAAATCGAGCGCGTGTGTGCTGCATATATACACCAGCCACGGCCTCGATATATACAATCGAGTGCATGTGCAGCTAATATACACACGCGGAGAGAAACTCGCCGAGCGCCGAGCGGTCAATTTTCAAAGCTAGAAAATTATCCTCGATGCACATTTCAATGCGCTACGCACACGCACATACGACATACATGTACGTGTGTAAGTTATACATTGGCGTGTATTTCCCCAGTTGTCCTTAATTACATCCTTTATGAATGGCGTATAATATGCGCGCATCAATCGACGTCGTTCGATTTCGCTTTGTGTGCTGCTCGGCCCTGCGCGGCAGGCAGGAGGGAGGAGGTCGGCATTGGCCTTTGTGCGTGCTTGCACGCGCGTGTGTGGATTCATATACAGGCGAAAGCTTTGATCGATTCGAGATTTCACGATGACGATGATGATGATTCACGTGTAAAAGCTCGGCCCCCCCCCCCCATCCCCGTTTACTTTGACGATTGAAAAGAAGGGAAAAAGTATATAATATACGTAGTATAAAATACTACAAAAGTTTGACGTGAAAAAGTAATCGAGATTTTTCCCGCTCGGCGCGCCTGTCCGCTGCAGCTTCTCCCGACGTTTTGCGTCGGTGAATTCTCTTCCCTTTTTATAACGTCTATCGTTCTACGCTGTATACATTCGACGATTTACGATTTTGCGCGACGTTTGAAGTATATATAATAATATATAACCAAGTTTTAATAACGAACTCTAATCCTGATTTTGATTTCTCTCGTTTGATATACTTAACATCGCATACAAATAATAATAATAATAATAATAATAATAATAATTTCTCTTTCACTAGCATCCTCTCTAACAACCCCCCTTTTGCTCGTTTCCAGGCCTGAGAATGCTATCTCAAAATCAATCGGAATTAGAACCGGGCGCCTCCACCTCCAGCGCGGCATCTTCATCTTCTTCCTCGAAAGACAACAATCCCCCCGGCGGCGGCGGCATGCAATTAGTCGGATTAAGCCCGGAGCCGAGCGGCAGCGGCGGAGGAGCTGGCTCGTCTTCCTCCCAGGCGCCCGTCACGCCCGGCGCGCCGTTCCACAACGGCGAGGGCTCCGAGGAATTTCTCTCGACGGGCCGGACCGGGCGCAGGAACGCCTTGCACGACATACTCGGCGAGCACGCCGAGACAGCCACCGCCGATCTGCCCGAGAAGCTCGGCGCGCTCACGACTGGTACTTTTTGTTTGTGATGTAACGAATTGTTTTATTATTGTTATTTATTTATTTTTTTTTTTTTTTCGAATAGATCCCGGCGCTGGTCCGTCAACGTCCGGCACGCAGCAGCATCACACGGGCTGACAAGAAAATGACGACGTCCTCGTCCTTCGCTCGGGAGGCAATCGTTAAAGCGACGACTACGACTACGACGGAGGCGACGTCGCGGCGACGAGTCGTCTCTCGGACACGCGAATCTCAACGAGTCTTGACACGTACAAAATACATTGATACAAGTAGTACAGAAAAAAAAGCTCACTTCGCAGACGTACATTATTATTATCATACATCGTAGAAGAAAAAAAATGAGAGATCTGTGTGTGTGATCGTTTTAAGAGAGAGAATAAAAAAATAGTTAACGAGTATTGTAAATATCGTACGATATATCTACGTATAAGAGCGTAGACACAATATTATACATATAGATGATAGATAATTATATTATACATATAAACATGAATACGGACTCGTTATTAACAAAAGTCGATCGATCGGAGCGCTGGACGTGACGATGCTCGCGCGTATATAGCTCTCATTGTTGTCACCTTGATTTCTGCCCACTGTGTTGGCTGGCCGTCGTGCGACAAGCCTCGTATATGTATGTACACAACATGGAGACGTACACAATATGTGCATGATGTTGGAACAAATACACAGACACACGTATGAGCATACGTGCATATATACATACGTAAATTGTACAAAAGCTCATCGACAGAGAGAGAGAGAGAAGAGAGAAGAGAGAAGAGAGAAAAGAGAGAAATAACGCCGTGCGCGCGCGATCTTTTGAATTTCGAATCGAGAGCGTGTCTAGGCCGTGTGTATAGGTGTGCTTTTATGTATCCGTATCGTCATCGTCATCATCGTCGTCGCGCGAAAGGCCTCGGCTCTTTCAAGTGCGAGCGAGTGCATATCGACTGTGGACTCCGGTGCTTTTTGAGATATTGATTTTTAACTTTTATTTCTTTCTTTCGTTTTTTTTTTTTTTATTTCATTGCGATTCCGAAACGCTTAACTCTCGTTTCGTATTTTACGCGCGCGCGCGCTCGATGCTGGTAATCGTCGCGAGGATAATTTTTTTCCACTTCTCTCGATGTATCGTCTCGCTTGAACCCTTTTTGTTTTCCACGTCTTTTAAATGTGTGTCTCGCGTCGCCGAAGAGTCAATCTATATATACATATTGCGTAGCGTCAATTTTTTCGCGCAGTCAATATTTACGGATCGATCGATGTTTTTCTCTCTTTCCGTTTTGTCTCTGTCTCGCGCTCTCTCATCGTTGTATTTTTTACTTTGCGAACTTTCTCGTGCGTGTACTACAGTGGTCGCCGCTTAAGAGAATCACTGTGTGACAAAAATTTTCATTCTATTAAGCGGATGATTCTACTATCCGATAGGGATTGCAATAACTTATAAATAACTTTGAATCCGAGAAATTATGCATTATTATAATAAATAATTTATTATTATAAATGAATATATATATATATATAATTTATATAATAAATTATTTATTATTAAATATTTATTCAAATCATATGTGACACCATTATAATTTAGTAAAATAGTCATTTATCTTGGTTTGTTTTTTCTTTTGGTCAATTATTTTGAAAATAAATTTTTCAAATTTGTAGTACTCTTCAAAGGATTTCGAACGATGTTGAACTCCTCGTCTCAAGACTTGTAATGCGTTAAACATTTCTAGATTATTAGGTGCGGGTTCTATACTATCATCTTCCTCTTCAATTTCTGATTCATCTGTGTCCAATTTTTGGCATATGTCATCATCTGTTGGCTTTCCAGAGGTTTCTAGACATTCGTCAATATCTATCCACTCGTCAAAAACCTCATGTGTCATATCTTCCGGATAAATTTCGTTCAAGCTAACGTTGCTCGAAATATTACATATTTCATTAGTTCCGTTAACAAACCCAGCCTTTCTAAAACAATTTTTTATCGTTTCGCTAGATACATAAGACCAAGCTTCTTTGATCTGATGTAGCGCATCAAGCAGAGAGGTCTTCTTGGCAATGTCATTGGCTTTGACATTTTGTTGATTATCTAATATTTGTATAATCCGTTCCCTCATTGTTCTTCGATAGTACGCTTTTAATGTACGAATTATACCTTGATCGCAAGGCTGTATCAGAGACGTCGTGTTGGCAGGTAAATAAACCACTGTAATATTTTTCATAGGCTCTAAGTTTGAATGTGCACCGCAATTATCAATGGTTAATAAAATTTTGCGTTTTAATTGTCTATCCCAATTTCGTAGCCAATCAGAAAAAATGTCTCTTGTCATCCACGCGTTTCTGTTGGCCGTGTAAGCAATAGGCAATTGAGTCACATCTTTGAAGCATTGTGGATTCTTAAATTTTCCAATAACAAACAGGTCTTTTTTTTCACCTGCCATACTGGCACAGCATAACAACGTTATACGCTCCTTACTTGTTTTGAAGCCTTTCGTATTTTCTGATTTTAGAGCATATGTATGCTCTGGTAATGCTCGGTAGTATAAACCCGTTTCGTCAGCATTAAATATATCGCTTGGCGAATAATTTTTAGATATTTCTGGCCATTCTTGTATAAACCACTCATTTGCACTTGTAAAATCAGCTTCGGCTTGTTCACCATGTGGCTTGCGATACACAATATTTTCTCGGCCTCTCCAACGTGAGAGCCAACCGTCAGTGGCCTTGAAATTTTCTTTGCCTAATTTCTTTGACAAATCTTCAGCTTTTGCTTTAAGTAACGGGCCATTAATTGGAGCGCCTTTTTCTCTCACTTCCACAAACCATTTCTTCAACGTTTTTTCTACGTCTTCGTCTTTGCCGCATCGTTTTCTCTTGCGGCTGAGATTTTCGTGAGAGCAAGAGGTACTTTCTATCTCGTAACGATTTAATAATAATCTACTAAGAGTAGCTTGTGATATGTTTAATAACAGCGCTGCATCACTTTGTGATAAATTTGGCAACAAATCATATTTTTTTAGTAGCTCCTTTTTTTCAAGGACACTTAAGCCTTTTCTATGAACTATAGCTGATGATTTTTTCATACTTGTATCACTAACACAATTAATTATTATGAGCATGTAATACCGACGGTGCTATGAGAAAGTACTGACAATGAAACTTGTATTTAATCGACAACAACATTGAATGTAAACATCGTCTTCAAACTAAATTTGATTCTATTAAGCGAAAAGTTTATTCACTTAAGCGGTGAATTTTACATGTATAAGGATACGGGAAAATCATTGTTAGGATTTTTGATTCATTTAACCGGCGTATTCTATTAAGCGCAATTCTCTTAAGCGGCGACCACTGTATATGTTTGCTTACTCGGCCTTCGCGCATGTATAATACACACACATACACACACTCGCGAACTCATCACACACAGACATTAAGGACTTTTCCGGATGAACTTTGCCGATATGTGTGTGTGCCTGTTTTTTTTTCCTTTTTTCATCGTCGAAGAGAGAAAAAGTTTGTTTCTCGCCCACTTTCGTATTTATAATATATTATATACATGTTAAAGCGTAAGAGCCTCGGATACGATCAAAATTCGATCTAGTTTTTAAGAGTAAAAAAAAAATCTCTCGCTCGCGTTCGACGAATGGATGTTTGTGCGAATTTTTACGATCGTATATATTTCCTTGTGGTTTTTTTTTTATTACCGATCGTAATAACGAATTGATTGTGCTCTTGAGATGAACGTAATTTTTAATGTATAAAAAAAGTATATAGTTAGGCAAGTGTTCAATATGGCACGTATTAATGTATGTGTGCCTGTAAAGTGTGTGTGCGAGTGTTGTGTCTCACTTCGAACTGTCGATTAATCGATGCCTTTTGAGTGTTATATGAATGTATAGTTTTACTTTTCACCACCGATCAGTAAAGTTTCCAACGTCGAGAGGAAAAGAAATAACCAATATTATGTATCCTACTGTACGCGCACGTCGTAATGCACTGTATACGTTTATCACAAATGGGGAAAGAAACTTTTTTATATTTTGTACGATACGAATGAAAATTATGAGCGAGTATGCGTGTGTATGTGTGCGAGATCTATATACCATACAAACATGACACAAAAAAAAACACTAGGGATAAGTAAGAAAAAATTGTATCGACCTTGCATGTGTGTGAATGCGAAAAAAAACCTACTCGTAATAGAATTTTAGGAAAAACGATCAATGATATTAAAACATGTTACATAGTTTATGGATTACGTATACCGAAATAATCTCGTGATTGCCAGTCTAAATTGTTGAAACGATATACTGCGATATTACAATATATATAAATGTGTGTGTATAAGCGTATACGTGACTTGTGTACAGTACAAAGCAATGTTTATTTGAACCTATTTTTTTTGTGTACTTTTTTTTGTATTTTAGTTCGTTTTCGCACGTATGTTTGAAGAATATAATATATTAAATGTATTGCAATATCGATCGCGAGCGGGCGCGCGCGCGCGCGTAACACGAACAGGCGAAACAAAAAAAAATAAAATGAAATAGAAACGATCTCAATAACCAACACAGTATGTAACGTTGCAAGCTGTAAAAAAGCTCGATTTGGATCATAGCTCGAGCCCCGATTATATTATATATTGTATCGATGATCGAGAGCGACTCGGTTCCGTCGGATTTTTCTCTTATTATAAGTATTATTTATTTACGTTTGTTAGTTTTTTTTATATTCTTTTGTTCGAGCTGAAGTATATGGCACACAATTGCGAGAAAATTGGCTGTGACCGTGTATATATACGTGTATATGCGCGCACGCAGACAGGCGCGCTGGTTTTCCTTTTGACGCGAAGCTGCTGCTCGCTATACATATATATGTACACGTTAAAAAGAAGCAAGAGAGAGAGAGAGAGAGAGAGAGAGACGCGGAGTTGCAGGAAGTTCCATTCAGAATATGACGATCTAATAAGACCTCGTTAATATTTTGCGTGCGGAGCTCTTTGCGGCTGCGACGTCATCGTCGTCGTCGTCGTTTCTCCCGTCGCGTGTGCTATACGTGCCTTCTTTCAATTCATCGTGTTTTGTGTTACCAAGCTCGAACGTAAGCTCGATATAATATACTCTCGTGGTCTTTTTTTTATCATCGTCATTATTTTATCATTATTATTATTTTTATTTATTATTGTTCGCAAAATCATTGTATCGTAATGAACAGTAATACTCGGTGCTAACGTCTATCTCGATTTGTATGTAACTCGGATCGAATCACCGAGATACATGTACATTGTCAATTGGCGAAAATATTTTCTACTGAGTGAAAATAATCGATATATATATATACCATCTCTGCCGCTGCGAGCGAGCTCCTGAAATTCCGTAAATTCCAGATCTGTTCTCTGTCTCTCTCTCTGGCTTGTATACCACCCGAGAAAATCAGAACGACGAAGCGAAGCTTGCGAGCTTTTGCGCGTCGGCTCTCGTGCGTGGGCGTATTTTTCTCGTATCACTGCAGCGCTGTGCAGTAGTGGCGGCAGTATCAAAATACGAGCGCGGAGCCCCGAGAGAGTTCGCGCGATACATTATCATTCACGAAGTGGCGAAAGTGATATAATGAGCTTGAATTACGATCGCGCGCGCGCGTCGTCGCTTTTGATAATTTATTGTAACGAAACTTTGTTGTATCATACGATATCTCCAAGTACTATCCATGACATCGCTGAGTTAATACATCAGTGAAATATGTGCCCTCTCTCTCTCTCTGTCTGATCGTGATCGTTATTTTATTTTATTATTATTGTTATTAGCGTTATTTTAATTACTTATAATCGTATTCGCTTCTTCGAGCAAACAGTATGTATAAATGACGAAAAAAAAAACAATGAATAAATCCATGATATTACGATAGAAGCGAATACGCGTATCGACGGCGTGAATCGATTATTAATTTGTCGCAAGCTCCGAGTGCTCATTAATTATTCTGCGTCGAGTTGCTCGCGCGCGCGCGCATCGTCCTCCGCTGTTTATAATTTTTGTCATGTCCCGTTTTGGTTCGAGCAAACCTCCGAGAGACTCGAGAGCGAGTTTTTACGCGTGATTTTCATTAGCGAACAATTGATGTTGGCTCGGCCGCGCGCGTGACGTTTCGAGCGCGCCTCGCGCGAAAATTATGTCACGCAGCAGCGCCGGCGGCACAAAACATCGGAGTTATAATGCGAACGCGAAATTCAACGAAATAGTTTAATTCGACGCAGAGACATTGCTTCGTAGTGTAGTGATATTTGAATGTGATGAAAATTATAGATAAACAAATGAATAAAAAACCGAATCGACGAGGCGTCGTAATTTATAAGCTTTGTGAAACTTCTCGATTTTTTGTTGCGTTTCTTCGAAATCAAAGCAAAGTTATTTATCTCTCGTGCACCCGTGCAGGGTATTATAAATCGAAGAAAGCCGATCGATTCGTATAAACATGAAATTCTCAAACTTAGGACTTTTCGCGGCATGTATGTAAGTCCGCACGAGCAGGAGATAAATAGCTTTGTGTACCACTCGCTCTGGTTTTTTTTCGAATTATTAGTATTACTTCTTTTTTTACGCTCGACTTTTTATTCTTACGTAATTTCATTATTCTCTCGGTCGAGAAAACGCGTGATAAATCATCGAATACGTTACGAATGTATACAAAAGTCGGTTCCGACTATCGATCCTACAACAATGTAAAAGCTAAACGTAAAAAAAAATCTGTGTCAGTCGTCGATTATGTGTAGTTTGATTTTTCGTCTCTCTATCTCTATTATACTTTTTTTGTACTCGGTAAACGCCAAGTCGTAATACCCCTCAGTTGTGTCTTGTAAATTATACTTTCTGATAGTGATATTAGAATCGTGAAACTTTTTGTACCTCTTAAGCCGTTTTCATTATCGTAAGAGAAAGAAAAAAAAATATCGTTTGCCAGTATTAGGGCGTAACTCCTTGGACAATGAGTTATCATGTACGTCATAAATATGTGTAAATTTATAATAAAAAATTTAAGAAAAAAACAAACAAACTATGTTTATACATATGTTCGAAAATATATGAAAACAGTGATACGTAAAAAACAATTGGCTCTTTTATTTCCCTGATTCTTCTTTCCTTGTACAAAAAATCTCATCTGCATCGAGCAGTTTTTCAAGGATACACACGCGATGTAACATTTTTTGAGTCAAGAACAATAGTCCTCGGTCGCGTGTACGCTCGGATACATTTTCGTAAATTCTTAACTACGTAAAGGAATAAAAAAACACGTTAACCGACTGCCAGTGTAATATCAGCTTTTACAAGCATATCAACATAATACTCTTATCAATATTTCATTACAACAACTTGTACCACAGTAGATAGTAATATTCAACTGCTGCTTCTGCTCGTCAATGTTCTTTGCGCAACGAGGCGATTGCCTTTATAAAGGGCGCAACGAGTCCAAAACTTGGCCTGGACTATACATAGTTTGTACATTATCCAAGTAGAGCCAATTCCATGGATCTGTATAGCTGCCGCTGTCGCTGCTGCTGTTGCTGCTGCTGGTGATGCCGATGCTCATTTGCATTTGCCCCCGTGCAAATGACACGCGTCGTCGCACTGTGACGAGGATGACAACGACGTGGGGCAAGGCAATCTCCTCGACAGTATTTTATATCATGCGTTCATATAGTTAGCCCCTGAGTATCAAAGTGAAACGAGTACACGATCGGATTGGTTTTTCTTTCTTCTTTACGGGTAACGCGCAAGTTCCGTACTTCGAAACAATTACTAAAATTCGATCGATTGCTTTAATGTTTTATACTCGTGTGTATGGATGTATCTTTTTAATTTTATTTTAATCGTGCGATACAAATGTTATTTAAAATGCAATAAAAATTATGTACAGCAAATCAAAAAACGCCAATGGAATTCCTCGAGCTCCTTTGGCCTAGAAAATAATCATAGAAAGTTGAAAAATACTACAAATTTTATTATGAAATTTTAGAAAAAAATGATAATACCTTTGCTTACGGTGTCACGTCTTTTGGACATTTTATTTCGCAGGGATTTTCAGCCGCCAAGCAAATATTATATAAATCCTTATTTGACAAATTCTTCATGATCATTTCGCAGCAGAGAATCGGCAGTCGGTTGTGCGTCAACTCTATGAATGCCTCCAGTGCCCAGCTCCGGAAAAATTCTCTCGACACGATCTCGCATATCTGCAGCTTGTTAGCGTCGCCGACGGGAACGCGCGTGAGTTGCTTCGCTCCGAACAATTTGAACTTGGCGAATGTTTTCATAATTGACAGGGCATCGCTTCGATACAGCTCGTATCCCCTTTTCTCGAGATTTTCGACGACTGCCAGAGCATTACCAGCTAGTTCTATTTTTGATCTTGAGTTCATACGCTCAAAGCTCTCATCGAAGTCACTCTCAGAGGGAAAAACGAAGCTGGACAGATCAGCGCCTCGATCCAAGAGAAAATCGATCACATCCGGCAAGAGATTCACCACGGCTAATTGCAGTGGTGTCCGACCTCTCTTGTCCCGGGCATCGACGTGTATCTTTTTATGAAATTTGTCGAATATCTCAAAAAATTTCTTCCACTTTGATAATGCAGCGTGAGATCGGCAAAAATAGTGCAGAGAAGTCAGTCCATCCTCATCGGCGAAATTAGGATCTGCGCCTCTTCTCAGCAGTAACTCGGCCATTTTCTCGTTATTGTTATTCAGAGACGATTGCAGCGGTGTTTCGCCTAACTTGTCCCGAGTGTCGACCTCAACCGACAGATGGACTTCGTCACATACGTCGAAAAATATCTGCAACATTGTCATCGTCGGTTCCTCGTCTTTCTTAAATTCGCACACCACGTGGAGAGGAGTCTGCCCATTTTCATTGATCAAATTTGGACTGGCGCCATTTCTCAGCAGCAATTCAACCATCTTCCTGTGAAGGAAGTACATAGCTATGTGCAGCGGTGTCTGACCCCAAAAGTCCCGAGCGTTGATCATTACCATTTGATTTTTTTCGGCGTAGATCTTGAAAAACACCTCCAAGAATCTCGCCGCTTCGTCGTCGTCGGTGCCTTTCTCGACAATCGCGTGCAGTGCGTGCGATCTATACTTGTCGATTACGTTTGGATTGGCTCCTCTTCGCACCAACAATTCGGCCGTCTTATAGAATTTGTGCCTCACAGCTGAGTTGAGTGCGGTCCAACCCCAATCTGTCACGGCGTCGACATCAATCGGTCGTTTGGATTTGTCGCAGATGTCGAAAAATGTCTTCAAGAGCTTCGCGCATTCGTCATCATTAGATTTAGTGCAAATGAAGTGCAAAGGTGTACGTCCGTATGATTCGGCCACATTCGATTCAGCGCCGTTTCTCAGAAGCAATTCAGCTATCTCATTGTGGCGCCAATTTAGAGCCAACTGCAGCGGTGTGTAGCCCCACTTGTCTCGGGCGTCGATGTGCACCTCTTGATTTAATTGGTCGCACATGTCGAAAAAGGTCTCAAAGATTATCGAACCCTTGTCACCTTCGTGCATCGTCGTGCCAAGGACATGCAGAGGTGTGCGTTTAAACTCATCGATCTTGTTGGGATCGGCGCCATATTTCAGCAGCAGTCGCACGATATCTTCGTGACCCCATTCCACAGTCAAATGCAGCAATGGATCGCTCGTTTTTGGCCACAGGCTGTCGGGATCCTGGCCGTTCTCGAGGAATTTCTCGACAGCCTCGCCGCAGTCGTACTTACAAGCCACATGAAAATGCGTTACGCCTCGTTCGTTTGTGTAGTTTACTTCAAATCTGTTGTAGATTCGAAATAGATCGCGCATCGATTCGTTGGAGAAATCGCGACAGCTAGCCGCATGATGAACTGGTGTGGTACGAGCATTATAATCACACTGCTCGCCGCCTGCGGCCTCGTCGACTTGGGCCTCGTCTGTGTAACCGGTGAGAGCCACGAATTCGATGATTAGTTCACTTTCTTTTCCAAGGTACTTTATGGAATCCGAGAGAAACCAATCTATTTCTTCCGGCCAAAAAATTTTTCGGAGATTGGGAAGTTCGCCCTTCCAATTTGTCAGTATTTTATTAAAATGTTCGAGCAATTCAAATTTCTCTGTTTCATTCTCAGCACTGATCTTTTCACGCAAAATTTTAAGGTCTTTCAAACAGTTTGGGTCGCTGGGACCGGAAAACTGATTTTCACACCACTTCACCATAATGTTTTATAGCACGAGAGTCTTAAATACCCGCCAAATTTAAATGTTTACGATAAATTGATTTAAAATATTTACTCTTTTCACGATAATCGCTTGATGCAGACGACGCGATGTTTCTGCTTACGCTGCAGCGTGGCACGCAATGTGTTTCGTGTATACCGAAGCTACTTCTACATGACTTCGGTTGGGCGTGACTTCGTTTTATCGGTTGTATGACTGCTACCAGCGCTGCCACTTCGGTTGGAGTCGGCGCTCAAAAAATCAAATGAAGTCGAAACTGATTAATGTTCTGTAGATGTAGCCTAAACTATATGCCTGACATGCCGCCACATTTTTGAAAGGAGATGAGCCGCGTCAAAATTTTAACACATCGCATGCCACGAAGCTGATTTCAAACGTTTTTCAAATGAACCACAGCGGAAATTTTTTTAAAATAAAGTGCATAATAATGTTGTGAACTGTAATAAAAAGTAAAAAAGTGTAAAAAAAAAGGAGGATTGCTAACGATTTCGGACATGTGATACGTTTTTCTGCACTTTTTTACTTTTTATTACAGTTCATCATATTTGTTTACCAATCATTAAAGAGATAAAAACCCCTATGAATTTAAGCTCATTAAAGTTACATGAATATTGTAAAAACGTGTAAAAAAACATAAAATTATGAAATAATAATCTTAAATGTAACAATTTTTACTCATGGGTTTGAAATTGTTACATCCAGCCCATGACAATAACGTGTGTGGGCGAGCTCGCTGGTGTATGTGTGCTGACGCGTAAGCAAGTGCACACGCACACACACACACACACACACATGCCGACCCATGAGCATAGAAAGCGACGACATATGTAATCAGCATACACGCGTGTACAAAATGACAGCATATACGAGGCTGACTCTCGATTATGTATAACAAGATCCGGGGTATGATCAGCGTATAAATACTAACCGCGGGCGGGAAGAACAAGCTAACTCAAAAACATTAGATGTAGTAGTTTTCATAATTGCTCTCGTTTTGATTGAGACGTGATAATAGCAAAAAGTTGTCTGTCAAAATTGTCACTAGGCTTTAACGGGCTACTTATATCTTTTGAAAAACGTTAAAATTAGCTACTTCGATGTGCAGAAATTTTTTCTTTACCGCGCGATTCAATTCGTTTCGAAAATGTGGTGGTATATCGAGTCAGGTTTCTTTTCAGCTACTAGTGCCGAAATTTTATTGGTTGCGACTGCGCTGGATTTTTTGAGCGCCGACTCGAACCGAAGCGGTAGCAGTCATACAACCGATCAAACGAAGTCACACCCAATCGAAGTCATGTAGAAGTAGCTTCGGTATACACGAAACACATTTCGTGCCTCGCTGCAGCGTAAGCAGAGAGACATTGCGTCGTCTGCGGCAAGTGACTCACGTAGAAAGATTAAATATGCCATAGCAGTCTGATGTAAAAATTGTCATTTTTCTACTGGTTTTTGGTGCTTATGGTATGAGATATTGCATGCAACTAGTTAAAAAATAGTACTTCAATTATACTCGAGGCAATACTTATCTTCGAATTGTGCTACAAATCCTTGTTCTGCAGAAAAAGCATACGTTATACCCGTGAAATTGTATGTGATTGTTTAGTGCGTGTCTGTGTGAATGAACAATGGCTCAAGACGAACAAAGCTGTTTGAAAAAATTGAAAACTTTGCGGGAACAGGTCGATTGGAAGATTAGAAAGGAGCGACACAAATTTTTTCTGCAACTTTATCCCTTAGTGAAGGATTGGAGTGGCCAACTCCCAAATCTCAAGGACATTTTTCGGCCGAAAGAAATCGATTGGCTTCTCACGGATTCTATGAATCATTGCGGTAAAGGAAAAGGTTACGATAGAGAAATATTCGTCAAATTTGTGGCTCGCACAGGCTACAAAGATGAGCCCGAGAACGGTGAGGGTAAAAAGTTATCGTTGTGTCATACCACAGCACTGGATTGTGCGGCTAGACTCGATCCTGAAAAATTCTCCAGCGAATCGGGGAACAAACTTTTCCAAATATACGACAGATTTGAAGTGAACTACACAGACAAACGAGGCATGACGCATTTTCATGCGGCCTGTAAATATGGATGTCACGAAGTCGTCGAGAAATTTCTCGAGCTCGGCCAGGACCCCAATTGCCGCACGAAGAAATGGGGTGATACGCCGCTTATCTTGGCTCTGACCTGGGGCCATGGGAGGGTAGCCGAGTTGCTGCTGCGAAATGGCGCTCAGTTGCATGTGTCCGATGGATTTGGACATACTCCACTTCACTTGATATGCCAGAAAAAATACGATTTCGACTTGGTGAAATTATTCTTCAAAATCTCCGATGAACAACATCAGCTGGTCGAGGTCAATGCCCGGGACAATCAGGGCTGCACACCTTTGCACTATGCTGTAAGGCGGGGTTGCCGCTTCAAAAGGACGACTGAATTGCTACTGAGAAGAGGCGCCAATCCGATTCTGGCTGATGAGGATGGATCGACCCCTCTGCACTTAATTTGCGATACAAGCTGCAATAGTGACGATGCTTGCAGAGATGATAATGATGGCCTGTTGGAGCTATTCTTCAAGATTTGCGACGACCAAAATCAATCTGTGCAGGTCGACGCTCGAGACAAATTAGACATGACACCGTTGCACTATGCTGCAGAACGCCGACTCAAGAAGTCGACCGAAATTCTGTTGAGACGAGGAGCCAATCCAAATTTGGCAATATCTCTTACGCAGCATAAAGGTTACTGCGGATGGACATCTCTTCACTTCATTTGCGGAACAGGCTTCGATGAAGAGTCGTCGATATTCTTGAAGTTTTTTTTCGACCTAAATGACGAAATTCATCAATCGGTAGAGGTCGACGCTGTAAACAAGTACGGTAATGCACCGCTGCACTCCTCCCTCGAATCGCGTCATTTTAGGGTGGCTGAAGTGTTACTCAGAAGAGGTGCCAATCCAAATTTGGCCAACGAGGATGGAGAGAAACTTCTTCATTTAATTTGCTGGATACGCAACGATCTCGAAGTGGCTAAATTCTTGAAAATTTTCTTTGAAATCAATGACGATAAAAATCACCGGGTGAAGGTCGACGCCCGGAACAATGGGGGCCATACACCTTTGCAGTTGGCTCTGGACCATGGCAACAAGGAGGTAGCTAAATTGCTACTTAAAAACGGTGCTGATCCTAATTCGGCCAATGAGGAAGGATCGACCCCTCTACACTTTATTTGTAAAAGACAGCACGAGGATTCAGTGGTAAAATCCTTAAAGATATTCTTCGAGATAAATGACGATCAAAATCGCCAGGTTCTGGTCGACGCCCGGGACAAGTCCGGCAAGACACCGCTGCAATTAGCTGCAATGAATTTGTTGCCGAATGCGATCGATATACTTTTAGATCGTGGTGCTGATCTGTCCAAATTTGCTTTTCCCTCCCAAAGTGACTTCGATCAGTCCTTTCAAAATCGAACTAGTGTATGTCCGGTTAATTTAAAAGCTCTGTGTGATGTTATGGTCGTCGTCGAGCGACTTGAAAAAAAAGGATACGAGCTGAATCGACATGACGCCCTAATAATCATGAATTTATTCGCCAAGTGTGGATTTTTTGATAGGTCAGAATCACTCGAATTTTGGCTCAATAACGAAGAGTTCGTGGAAGAAGCAAAAGATATAATATTATGCAGAACTGATGAAAATGAGGATAATAAGAAGTTGTCAAGAAAAGTTAAAGACTCATTGGGACATTTGAGTATGTCGCTTTTCGATTTACTTCTAGTGCCACTTGAAAAGGCGAAAAAACTGTTCACATATAATGACTACTCAGATTTGGCGGAAAATGACTATTGTTGGGATAATATTGAAGAAAAACAACGCCAGGCTTGTTTAGTGCATCTGGGTGAAATAATGTCGAGAGGATTTTTCCGGAGCTGGGCACTGGAGCCATTCTTGGAACTGACTCACAATCGACTACCAATTATTTGCTGTGAGCTGATCATCAAGAATTTGATGAATGAGGATATATATAATATTTGTGTGGCTGCAGAAATTGCTTCATCAGAAGAAAAGCAAAATTTGTGATAGTATGACGACTGAATTATATATTTTTTTACAAAACATATTTTTTTAACGCTCTGTCACGGTTGTTATTTCATAAACAAAGACTAAAATGGATATACTTCATACTTTTTTATTGATAGTGTTAAAATTTATTTGTTATGTTTTATATTTTATAAATGAAACTTAGATTTTTTTATATCAAATCAAAATTAGATGCGTTACCATGCCGCACGTGCACATTTCTTTTTTTGATGACTATCTTCGAATGTTTATGACTAGGAAACTATGCAGCATTTTTGTACAAGAAAATGTGTAAAAAAGTTAATAATATAGGGGAGAGGCTGGTAATTGGAACATGGCTGGTAACCATGACACCCTCATAAAAAATGCAATTTCCAACTTAAAATTATGAAATAAATTTTGTTATAATCCTTTCATCATTTATGATATTTGTACGGAAAGAAAATTTTTTCAATCCATTTTTTCCATCAATAAAAAAATTGGTGAAAATTTTTGACTAAAAAATCCAGTATCGCCAATATTTCAACCGAGACTTTTTGACTCGGCGGAAGTTGTTTAAACATTATAAAACTTATTAAAAGCCCATATGATTCTTATATGAAATAGAAAATCTACAGTATCTTTGCTATTCTCGAATAGTGAAAGTTATCTCAGCACATAAAATGTATATCAAAATCTTCAAAGTAGTATAAAAATGTAATGACAATTTGATTTATTTTAAGAGAAAGAAGATGTTATTACAAAGCCATTATTATGTACAGGTATAAATTATATATAATAATACTATAATAAAACTACAATAATATTATAATAGTGCTACAATCAGCTGTATCTTGGCTATCTACGTACGGATATGTCTATCTTTTATATATCTATATATACATAAAAACATACCAGCGGATAGCTTGAATCCACACATTTTTATTCATATAATTTAATATCTTCCTCGACGAACTAATTAAAGAGATATTTAATTTTGAAGATGAACTTTGTCGTGATTTCGCCACTTAGCACCGCCTCGTCTGCTTATAAATACCAACCTAGATACGCTAAATCTATACTATCACTATCATCGTCCAGCTACCTTAATGAGCTGAGTTTTCTTTTAAATAATAACACATGTCAGGTCTTTTCCTCCAAACTGTGTACATAAATTTACAATATATCTTTTTAATTTTATTTTCATCGTGTAATACAAATGTTATTTGAAGTTCAATAACATATTATTGAATCGATTTTTCAATAATGTATCCTTGAATCGATATTATTGTATCGATTTTTGGAAATATCGAATTTTGGAACAAGTACATATAACATTTCTTGAGCTTCTTTGGCCTAGAAAATGATAATTTGGCGAGTTAAAACATACAATATAATTTTTTTATGAAGTTTAAGAAAAATATGATAATACCTTTGGGTACGGTGTCGCGTGTTTTGGCTGTTTCCTTTCGCAGCGATTTTCAGCCGCCAAGCAAATGTTATATAAATCCTCGTTATTCAGATCTTTGAAGATCTTCTCACAGCAGGGGATTGGCGGTCGGTACTGAGTCAGATCCAAGAATGATTCCAGTGCACAGCTCCAGAAAAATCCTCTCGACATTTTCTCGTAGAGATGCACAGCACAAGCCTTTCTAAAATGTTTAGAGAGCTCCTTAAATTCCGTTGAGCGCGCGAGGTCCAAGTAATCCGAGTATTGGAAAAGTTTCGCAGCCTCTGTGGGTTTTAACCGGATCAGGTCGTGGAGAGACAGACTTTGACGCTCTACTACCTTTTCGGCTGCATTCGGTATCTCGTTCATTTGCTCCTCGCTCCTCTCGACTTCATTCGAAACCTCAATTTGTTCTTGGTCCTTCTCACTCTCCTTCTCGCCAACGTCATCCTCGATCTCCGTATCAACATCATCATCAAAAACAACATCATAACTTATCATTACTTGTTTCGCTTCCCGTGATAACTGAATGCGTTCGAACAAATTTCTAAGTCCCTCCGACTTTTCGAACATTCCATACTTGGCGAATAATTTCATGATTGCCAGGGCGTCGCTTAGATACAGCTCGTATCCTCTTTTCTCGAGATTTTCGACGACTGCCAGAGCATTACCAGCTAGTTCTATTTTTGATCTTGAGTTCATACGCTCAAAGCTCTCATCGAAGTCACTCTCAGAGGGAAAAACGAAGCTGGACAGATCAGCGCCTCGATCCAAGAGTAAATCGATCACATCCGGCAAGAGATTAACCACGGCTAATTGCAGTGGTGTCCAACCTCTCTTGTCCCGGGCATCGACCTGTACCTTTTTATGAAATTTGTCGTCTATCTCAAAAAATGTCTTTAACTTTGATAGCATTGTGCGAGATTGGCAAAAATTGTGCAGATAAGTCATCCCATCCTCGTCGGCCAAATTAATCTGGGCACCTCTTTTCAGCAGTATTTCGGCTACCTCCTTATTGCAACCATTTAGAGCTATCTGCAATGGTGTCTCGCCCGACTTGTTTCGAGCATCGACCTGCACGACTCGATCAACTTCGTCGGACATCTTGAAAAATGTTTCCACAAAATCACTGTCGAGATTTTTCACAGCATACCCGACAATTGAATGCAAAAGTGTACATCCACGCTTGTTGACCAAATACGGATCTGCGCCTCTTCTCAGCAGTAACTCGGCCATCTTCTTATTATCGTTATTCAGAGACGAATGCAGCGGTGTTTCGCCAAACTGGTCCAGAGTGTCGACCTCAACCGACAGATGGACTTCGTCACATAGGTCGAAAAATATCTGCAACATTTCCATCGTCGGTTCCTCGTCTTTCTTACATTCGCACATCACGTGGAGAGGAGTCCGTCCATTTTCATTCGTCAAATTAGGATCGGCGCCATTTCTCAACAGCGATTCAACCATCTTCCTGCGGACACGATACAGAGCTATGTGCAGGGGTGTCTGGCCCCAAAAGTCCCGAGCGTTGATCAGTACCATTTGATTTTTTTCGGCGTAGATCTTGAAGAACACCTCCAAGAATCTCGCCGTTTCGTCGTCGTCGGTGCCTTTCTCGACAATCGCGTGCAGTGCGTGCGATCGATACTTGTCGATTACGTTTGGATCGGCTCCTCTTCGCACCAATAATTCGGCCGTCTTATAGAATTCGTGCCTCACAGCTGAGTTGAGTGCCGTCCAACCCCAATCGGTCACGGCGTCGAGATCAATCGGTCGTTTGGATTTGTCGCTGATGTCGAAAAATGTCTTCAAGAGCTTCGCGCATTCGTCATCATTAGGTTTAGAGCAAATCAAGTGCAAAGGTGTATATCCATATGATTCGGCCACATTCGACTCAGCGCCGTTTCTAAAAAGCAATTCAGCTACCTTATTGTTGCACCGATTCAGAGCCACCAGTAGCGGTGTGTAGCCCCACTCATCTCGGGCGTCGATATGCACCTCTTGATTTAATTGGTCGCACATGTCGAAGAAGGTCTCAAAGATTATCGAGCCCTTGTCACCTTCGTGCTTCGTTTTCCCAAGGACGTGCAGAGGTGTGCGTTTATGCTCATCGATCTTGTTCGGATCGGCGCCATATTTCAGCAGCAGTCGCACGATATCCTGGTGACCCCGTTCCACTGCCAAGTGCAGCAATGGATCGCTCGTTTTTGGCCAGAGGCTGTCGGGATCCTGGCCTTTCTTGAGGAATTTCTCGACGGCTTCGACGCAGTCGTACTTACAAGCCACATGAAAATGTGTTATGCCTCCTTCGTTTGTGTAGTTTACTTCAAATCTGTCGTATATTTGAAATAGATCTCGCATCGATTCGTTGGAGAAATCATGCCACCAGCTATCCGCATAATGAACTGGTGTAGTACGAAGCGACCGTTGCTTGCCGCCTGCGGCCTTGTCTTTGTAACCGGTGCGAGCCACGAATTCGATGATTAGTTCACATTCTTTTCCAAGGTACTTTATGGAATCCGAGAGATGCCAATCTATTTCTTCCGGCCAAAAAATTTTTCGGAGATTGGGAAGTTCGCCCTTCCAATTTTTCATTACTTCATGAAATTGATGGAGCAATTTTAATTGCTCTCTTCTATTCTCAGCAGTGATTTTCTTACGCTTTAATGTAAGGACTTTCAAACTGTTTGGGTCGCTGGGACCGGAAAACTGATTTTCACACCACTTCACCATAATGTTTTATAGCACGAGAGTCTTAAATACCCGCCAAACTTAAATGTTTACGTTAGATTGATTTAAAATATTTACTCTTTTCACTAATCACTTGATGCAGACGACGCGATGTTATTCTGCTTACGCTGCAGCGCGGCACGCAATGTGTTTCGTGTATACCGAAGCTACTTCTACATGACTTCGGTTGGGCGTGACTTCGCTTTATCGGTTGTATGACTGCTACCAGCGCTGCCGCTTCGGTTGGAGTCGGCGCACAAAAATTCAATGAAGTCGCAACTGATTAATGTTCTGTAGAAGTAGCCTACAATGAACCTGACTCGACATGCCGTACCGCCACTGATTTCAACTTTATTCGAAATGTATAAAGAGAATAGAGTTTAAGCCATTTTAACACTGGAAGACAATTTTGCAGATAAATTTTCGCTATTGTAAATAGCGACGAGAAATAATATGAAAACGCTACTATATATTATGTTTTTGAGAGTCCTCTTTGCAACAGTCGAAAAATTATCTAAATCAACGAGTGCTCATTGCTATGTAGGTATTTAAAATTGTATAAATTATGTACATCATAAAAATTACCAATTTAGCAATAAATTTTTGAGGTCATATCTTTTTTCATTCGTATTTTTGAATTCTTTATCATATGAAAAGAATATTTAACGTGCTCTCTAACTATGTAGTTTACAAAACTATACTTAGTTTATTCAAAATAATTTTTATTTATAACAAAACATCGTCTAGAATAAAAAAAATTCATTTTTAAATTTCCCTATTTTTCTTTTCGAAAACTATTGAGTTTAGAGAAAAAAATTACGAAATAACACGCTCAAATTTTTTTAGAATTTTTCAGAATTTTCGAAGGTGATTTTAGTTAACCGAATTTCTTATATTTTCCAAAAATTGAAAAATCGTCTTCAAGAATTGTGTCAATAAATTCCGGCGAATGAGTTTTATGGTAAAACCTTTCCAATTTCTGCGGTCTACGATGACGGTCTACTTGTGCTTTATTATTTCACCACCACCTCTAATGCCTCTTTCCTCATCGGCGACGAAAACGAACACAACTCTCAGGCCCGGCCCTGTGGTACTGTTCATGAAAAATTTATACGAGTTTTGTATTAAACTTTCATTGGGTACTGTTCATATAAATAATTTTCATTAGTCGCTCCTCATATTTTATTGTTAATTATGTAACGCTCATCTGATCATTTTAATTTGTTTTTTGTGTCATCATTCATTTACTTTTGCTTGTTCGTATTGAAAAAAAATGATACAGACAGTGTCAAAGAAATATCATGAACATTAACAAAATTATTCATTCAGATATCGTGAAATTAGATGAGAAAACCTGGAAATGTTTGGATGTCAGGAGTTTCTTTATTTCTATTTACTGTAAAATGCAATTTTTTGTGGCCAGCTCAAAATTTGCGTACACAATCTATAGAAAGATTATTTATTTTATCATACTTATCGTCTCTGAAATGTTTTTAATAAATAAAAAATCCTGAAGAAGAATATCCTATTTTGAAATATAATTATCGAAGTATTATAAACGTATCAATTCTTTTTAATATTAGACTATGTACAAAAAAGCTGTGCAAGTATTTGAGGGATTTAAAAAAAGTCAATACTTACAATAACAATGTAATTGAAGGTATTATTCAAATGATAGTGTTTGCATGAATCAGTATGCCTTTTATCAGAGTAAGGTGAGTGAATTACCTCCATTAAGATTGCATTCAATTCACTCATTCTGTTGAAATAATAATTCATCAACCTTATTTTTAGGTAAATATGTGCATGACAATAGTTTTGAAATTATTTGAAAGCAGTGACTCATCATGAACAATTATTTGATATAATAATTGAGAAAGATTTCTGATTTGGTACTATTGAAAAGAGTAATAATAACCTTTTTTCAAAAATTAACTAAACTAGAAAAATGTCTTTCATTGCTTTATAATGTGGCTATACCCTATAATTTTGTCATGATTAATTTTAGATAACCAAACACAAAACAGTTTTACCATTGAAGTTCGCACTTTTTCCTGGCGAAAAAAATCTGTTTTTCCGTTCACCCTATTTGGATACTAATCCATTTTCAACATTGAGGCCAGGGTACCTACATCTCCCATTCACTATAGTGATATGCAAGGGTTTTTGGAGTTCAATAATCTACGCTCTGATGATTGACTCAACCGCCATATATTTATATTGAAATCCGAATCACTTCGGGCCCGAGTTCTACCTCAGCAGTCGAAAAATTCCCTATCTGATATCGTTATGTCTTAGCAGGCAGGCAGCGTATGCATAAATAACTTCAACTCTATGCATAAAGCATCAAAGTGTAAGTCTGCACTAAGTCTTCATCACTATTTTATATTATATTGAGTGAAAAAATTTGCCAACCTTTTGGAGAAGCCAATATCATTCAAGACATTTTCGAATTAACTACACAAGAAAAAAATTCAGTGCTTAGTATATGAGAATATTAGAGCTGTAAAAATTTTCTGGAAAACGAGAAAATTTGAAGACATTTAAACGTTCAATGTTTAGGATATTGGATAGACGAACCACCAGAAATTTGAGCGAAGCAAGAACTTTACCACTGATTTCAGCTGACACTCTTAAATTTAGTAAAAGCTCCCTTAGCGAACGCCTTTCAATAGCGGACAAATCTTGCGGTCCCGGTAACAATACTATGTTTCTTATGGTATTAGCATGTTTTAAAAGTATACACAAACACCTCTTAACAGTAGACACGTCTGTCGATGGACACCTTTACTTCCTGATAACACGATGTCTCAAGTGAAAATTCAAAAAAATCTAGAGTGGTATAGGCAAATACTTACTCAGTTTCCTGTACAAGTTATAGTATTAAAAACATGTTTTTTATGGCCATATCAAAGCAAATATACACAGATCATTGGACGATTATTCATTAATCTTTTTTTTTTCGCTGCAATAATTGGAATAGTATGCATCGTTGAAATAATAAGAATAATTTTCTTATAGAAATGATTTTCTGATACCTAATTTTATTAGTTATCCACGATGTATCAAGGTATACAAAAGGAAGGTGCCGACAGTAGAATGCTGGAAGGCTTGTGTCAAGCTATAATTGGTTTCGTTATAATATATTGCTATGATTATATAAGTTTAAAGTATGAAAAGGTTGATATCATTTTTTAATGTAAAGTCCAATTCAATATGACTTTAATAAATTTTAAAAACTGCACGTCATTTAGGTTGAGAATTGTTGGACAGTAATGGCCAAAATATTTCAAGACAACGATACTTCAGGTCAAAAAGTGATTTTGCAATCAGTTACAAAATTCATGAATTTAAACTCTATAATAACAGGTATTAATTCTACTAGTTAGAGACCCCACTAAATAATAACTAAGTTATGGTACATGGAAGTGAAAAAACTCACTTCCATGTCTGAGTCGACGTTTGTCCGAACATTTTATCGGTCTCTATAGTACTGACTTATGCAATTAATAATACATTTTTATAGTGACGTTCGTGTTTATGGCTGTAATCGGCGGTTCAGCTTCAGTGGTTGTTCCAGAGTTACTGTCCTGGGCACTTCCAGGAAATAAAACTATTAAAAAATCATTGCCTTTTAATTGGGATTTTTTCATGGACCAAGATGAGTATTTCTATCAAATTTTGGCAATACAATCGATCCTTCTTATTCTCTACACTTTTATAGTTGCATCATTGAACCAGTACGAGTTCTCATGTATAGGATTTATCATTGGCCAATTTCTTCAATTGCAGTATGTGAGGAAATTGCTTCTATCCCTTGATAACGTTTTTTGTTTGCGATAGTTTTGTAATTATTTAACTTGTCTTACTTTTAGAAAGTATTTAAAAGAAACAGATGTTAAGTATAACTGTATGCTTGATGAAAATGAAAAAAAAGCTCACCAATATCTTATCAAAAAACTCAACCGAGTAATACGACACCACAACGAATGCACTGAGTAAGTCATTTTTTACGTATCTAGGGGATGCGAAGTCTGGAATGTTTTTCTTCATTCTTTTCTAAACTTTAACGTAGTTTCTTGAAAAAATATTTAGGAAAACACTTTCAATTTTACTGTGACTTTGCTATTTCTAAAAATTTGAAGGTTTGATGAATTGGGAATGTTAGAGCAAAAAATCATAATCAATATTATAAATATTTGATTATTCGCGTTTTTACTAATTTTTTTTTTAGTTGCGGCAAAAATAAAATTAATTTTTGCTGAAAACCTAAACAAGTTGGTAAATTGATAAAAAAAATTTTTCTGTGCAAACTTTTCAAACAATTTTTTAACACATTTGTTACACGCGATACTGTTTTGTATTCCACAACATTTCAGCTACATTTTAGTTATGGAAACAAGAGTTTTCTACATTTTTTTTCCTGATTTTATAGACTTTTTGAACAACTGTATAACTTGACCAGTTCAGTGATGTTTGTCGTTATTCTAGCAGCATCATGTAACATTATTTTAAGTGGTACAACGGTAAGTATAAAACCGATTATAAGGCGTGCTGCCAATTTCATTCATGATGTAAAAAAATTACGAAGAAAATGATAAATTACAGATGGTAGTTTTAATGGATACGAGCTCAACGACAGCTATTCAAATGTTGATAGTACATTGTCTTTCTTTGATTTCCATTACAATTACATGTGTTCCTAGTCAATTGCTAAGCAATGCTTGCCATGATATGTTCGTCAAAACGTAAGATTTTTGCATAATTAAAAAATAAATATAATTGATTACAATAAAAAAACAAAAAAAAATCACGTTCGTATAGATATTGCATCAATTGGTATGGATACCCGCCGAAGGCTAGACTTATCTTAGTATTGCTTTTATTAAGATCAATGAAAACTTTGGTACTGGAAGCTGGGTCGATTGTTGAATTAAATTTTGAAACTTGCAGCAACGTAAGTTTCTCAATTTATACCAATTATATCAACTAGTAACCAAAACAATAATTGGTTGTCATTGTAAATTTTCTCCTCAGATTATCAAAAAAGCATTATCGTTTACAGCAGC